CTCAATATAAGTCGGACAAAAATAAGCGCAGAGCACGCACACCAAATTGTAAAAAAATCGCAAATAGCGAAAAAAACGAGAAGCATTAATTGTAGAATAATGTATTTTTCGAAAGGGCGCCGCGGTGCTCATTGATTTTAGAAAGTACTTAAAGGTGATTTGAGGGCGGCGCTCTTTCGATTAAATGCAATAGGATATTGTTTACGAGTTTCGAAAGAGCACCGCGGTGCTTATTTCTGTCCAACTTAAATTGAGGACGGCGCTCTTTCGAGTATATACGGTTTGGATAGTATATTTGACTGTTTTATTACATTTGTGGTCAATTTTCATTACATGTGAGGGCTTTATTACATTTGTGGTCAATTAATATTTGAACCGACATTATCGATATTTGTTTTCATAAAGAAGAGCACTTTGAATTTTTCCTTGCCTAGGAAGTAACCAGATTAAATTTATGACTTATCAGTTAGGCCAACGGAAAGAATTTCCTCCTTTGTTAATACGTTTACATCAGTTGCTACAACCAATACCAAAATCACGGAAGTCATACCTTAAAGATACTATCGACCTTATGAATTATATTTTTTTAAATAGGTGAACAACCGAACATTTCATGTTTCAGTTGACGTCACAAGTCTTGGCAAAATAATATACCAGGAGGGTAGTGACTACACATTACCTGCTGGAAATGCATAGATTAATCCTGAAAGAAAATTCTCTCTAGTTCAATGGAAAGCACCACCCACGGTACAGCTATGGGCACAAAGACAGCAGTTTCCTTTGCCAACATTTTCATGGCATATGTTGAACACGAATTCTAAGTAATACCGTCTTTAAACCAGCAGTTTGGAAACACTACATACTTTAGACGACATGTTTTTTCCCTGAGGGGCATAACTAAATCAGACATCAGTAGCCGACTTTCTTCGAACAAGCAAACTTACATCACCCTACTATTAAATTCCCGGCCGAAATATCTGAAACTGAGACTGTTTTTAAACACGGTTGTATATACAGACACACACAAGATTCACCGAAAAAGTTATCTTTGATGTGAAGACACATTTTAAACAAACGGAAACCTTCCAGTACCCACATTTCACCTTTTGTTACCCACAAAGTGTTAAAATGGATTTGCCTTACAAACTCCTTTGAAGCAACATTTGAGGAAAGCATTTCAAGTTCAAAACCGCTTGATGGACAGAGGCTACTCACACAATTTGAAAGAAAAGCTGCTATTATATCAGAAATAAACTCAAAGGAAATCCTGGCTCGTTCCTGAAACAAAACAACAAGGAAGAAAAATAAATTTGCCTTTCGTGACAATACCAACCCTAAGTGTCTACTGCAAAAGAAACTTTAGTGGAAAAGTGGAGTCATGCAAACAAACCACTACTTTGCCGAATTTTAAAGAACCACCCATTATTTCCTACAATGAAGGAAGATCAACAAAGGGCATGCTCGCTAGAGCCAAAATATTAAAGGTCAACACACGGTTTCACGCCGGTATAGATGTGCAGCCTGTCACCTCTTGCAGTTTTTCACTAAAAATAATTTACGTATCCAATTAAAAAGACTAGAGTGGGCGTTTTCCTCTGGGTCCAGTTAACCTCTCTTGGTTACTTTTTATTGTGCCCTGCAATCAACAGGGAAACCAAGTTCGCATTTACAATAAAAGCTTTGGCGATTTTTTCGGCACTATATTTGGGAAACAAAGGTGAAATAAATGATCCTGTTGCATAAACAATTCAGAGTTAATCAAGTTTTTAAAGTGTAGTGAATTAATGAAACTATGCATTCTTACAAGTTTTACACGTTTTATGAGGACTGGGCGAAATACGTAACATGCATTTTTACTTATTAACTGAGATTTACAACCAACAAAGTAACTGAATTTTAACCGACAACCGACAAGTGGATCCCCCCATTCAGACCCTCATACAATTCTTTGGAATAGCCTGGAAAACATCCGATTCAAACATCTTTTTTTCCTCGCGAACCGAGGGCCGAAGGAACTCTCAATGACCCAGAACTCTCTTCGGAAACCAATAACGCTGAAAACGTTTCACAAGATATAACAGCCAGTGCGATGTGAGGCAAGGGCCAAACGAAACGTGAGCGTTTCAGTTGTATTTTTCTTCACAAATTTACAGTTAACGTTCAGTTTCAAGAATCAATATTTCAATATTATCATGAAACTGTGGAATAATGTGCTAGAGCTATATTTCCGTGCGCATTTCAAACCACTGCTAAGCACCTCTGCTTCACAAAGTGTGTCAACTGCCAGATGAATACCTTTACTGAAATCAAAAGGCATCGAAACAACTTTACGATATACATTTTTTACTAAGATTAACGAAAAGTGAGAAGCACGAGCGACAACAAAACGAAAAGAAAAAAGCGAGTTTTAAAAATAGCACCATTACCGAGGTTACCCTCCGTAGAAGCCGGTGATGTATTATTTGTTCACTTGAAATTAATCTTAGAGATTCCAATTCTTTTATGACAAGCAGGCGCCTTCTTTTCGCTTAAAACGATGGACAGATGACAAAGTGTCTTTTGTTATCGGGGTCTCAGAAGAGGACCTCTTAAGCTCTGACATCATGGATTTCACATCTAGGGTCTGCAAACGCTTGTTAAGGATCTCCGGCAACATTTTCACATATGCTCGAGCCCAACAGTCATGAGCAACCAGAAGGGTTTCCGGACCCGAAAGAGCAGGATACGTATAGTGGTTGTAGGGACAAACAACAAACTTAAGTTTGTTAGTTATTGCAGACATCAGCTCACTCAGTATGGCCTTAGGCACAGGCCGAAAAGGGTCAAAAGAAAAATGGAACACTGCAAAGAAGGAGAAGTAATCTGCAAATAAAAATAAAGCATGTATTTATAGACCAGAAAATAATGAGCATAAACTTACAGAAATAAACAGACCATTTCCAAGAAGCCCAAGTTTCACTGTCACGGGAAATGAAAGAAAACGCAAGAAAACGGCCTGCAAAAGTCGTAATAATGCACAGTTCTCCTAGCGGTAAGCCATGGGATAACACTGGAATACATTCGTTTTTCCTGGATTCAGCCGTATTCACCGTTTCGTCAAACACGGGAAAACGTCCGCAAAAGACAGGATTTCACTCGTTAACTGCGGTGAACTCGAGGTTTTTCAGCCTGAAAACTCAGTGTAAATACGGGAAAACAAGGATAATGACATGGATAATGGAACGAATACTCGAATTAAGATGAGTGAAAACTTTTGGAAAAAGAAGGATTTTCCGCTGGGTGAATCCTAGAAAATGTAGGGAAATTGCACCTTCTTCGTTTTCTCAGTGGCAGAAGTGCCGCTTTTCTTGCCCTGGAAATTAAAACTTCGTTTACTCGGATAACTGTAGAACATTAAAGGATTCGTGCACGTTTTTTTTTTTCCCGCGAAGGAAAACAATCAGTGGCTGAAACTACAATCTTTTAATGTATAATTACCACTTGTGAACCTGAAAAATAAACTGATGGCTCTAGACTTTTTGCAAGGCTCTTAAATGTGGAGTCTTGGGTTTAAAAGCAAACGTAATGATACTTTCAATCGCTCTTTCTTTCAGGCTCCGTTTCACAGGTTTATAAGTAGTTAAAGGGTGGGGTATTGCTTCTGGTGTGGCCGGCGCTGGCCCGATATTCGTCTAGGATATAAAAATGCCCCACTGACCACCAGTGCTGCGGATACCAAACGTTTCATACTAACCCTGACGATGAATCCATCTGTTGATAACAGCTGCTACGTTCTCTTGAAAGTTCTTTTTCTCCTTTTTGTCTTCTATGACAAACCATTCAGGACTTTGGATTAGCTGTGTAAGATTTGCTTGGATCCTCTCTGCAGTGACAATCGTCGATTGTAAAAAACTTTTTAATTCATCAGTTACTAGTCTCAACTTCATTCTCACAAAGCTCACTATGCCATTCATTGATTGCATTAACCTTAAAACAACGTCCCGAACTCCACTTCCTCCTTGTCGGATCCTCGGCTTTAACTCGTGTAAAGCGTCCATCAACCACGATAAATATAGATAAAGGGAACTTTTAGTTTGACCCTGCGTTTCCCCCTCCAAAAAATTTACAATTTCCAGTATCATTACATTGATTTCCTCGTATAAATGTCTCAAAGTCGGGATGTCCTGTAAAAGTATTTCAGTTACATCACTCTTATCATCAAGATCAGTAAAGAAGGTTTTGATTGCTGATGCACTAGAGACATTTTCGTCGTCGGTAATGATGAGAACAGCTCCACAACTGTGGTAAGTTGTAGGAAGATCAGCTACTCCATTCAGTTTCTTAATCTCATCCAATGTGTATGCTAGCTGAAGTGATCTGTGTGATTTTATCGCCGATTTAATTTCTAGCAAAAGGAGGTCATACAGCTGTAATGCCTCAAATACGTCTTTCAGCATCGTCACTGGGGTGTCTGGGAACAATCGAAAAATACTAGAAAAATCACTCAAACGTAATCTTTGCATTTTGGTGATCCCAAACGAATCTAGGACACGTTTCAAAGCATCATCGTCACTGTCAAGTCTGTCATGAATCTTAGAAATAACTCTTCTATCCACATGTTCCAATCTGGGCGTAGGATCTGTAAAAGATTAAATCATTTAAAATAAAAAAAGTCACAACGATAATAGGGATAACAATAAGAGAGGCACTCTAACTTTGCAGAATGTTGAATGCAAAATTAGGTGATAGTAACGCAGTGAAGCAACCAAATAAGCTTAACTTCAAGAACGCAAAGATCCATCTGTACAATCCAACCTTTTGTTATGAAGCCAAGTCTGCAGGGAAAGACAAAGCAACCTCCAAGAGGTTTGCAACTGAACTACTCGAATAAGGCATGATAAGCCTACCGAAAATTTGATTGTGAGGTAAGGTGTGTTAAGCCGATTCACTGGGTTTTCCCGAAACACTCTAAAAATATCAGGAAAAGCTTTATTTGTTGCACGTTTTGGTTCAATGATCCCAAAAGATTGTATTACACGTTTCCAACCATCTCGGCCCCTTACGAATCTTTTTTGAGTGTTACGAATTACGCTTTCACTCAAGTGTAACAGTTCGGGGAAAGAATCTATGCTTGAAAAACAAAAACAAAAAGATAGTAACAATCAGAATAGCGATACCAATGGTAATTTAAGGGAAGACACGAATTTAAGCAATAATTAAGGGTAATTCTTAATCTTCAATGTCTCACGATAGATCACGACGTTTTGGAAGAGGTAAAGCCAAGTCAACGCCAACAAGACGTTCACAAGAAGCAAGACCAATTTGTTTTAATTTTGATTTTGATATAAGGGTGAATAGTAAGGGTGAAGTGATTGTTTGAGGCAACTCTTGCTAGCCGAGGGACAAGATGGGTACAATTCAAAATAAGCGAGAATACATTTTCGCAGTTTTTTTAAAAGCTGAAACAATGTGTTGCATGGTTAATACTTTTTACGGTAATTTTGACAGAAAAACTAAAGATTGAAATAAAGATGGGAGCCGAATATATTTGAATGCAGAATTCATTGACTCTCAATTAAACCTTGATTTCTATTGATGTTTACATCCTACCTGCTGAAGCTGAAAATTAATGTCCCCCAGACCTTCTGTATAATTCTTCATATTACACGAAATACGAATATAATTCAATAGTTGCTAATAATATTTACCAGCTCTGTCTTCCAAATGTCCAGCTTCAGATGCTGTTCCTTCTGTCACGAATCCGCTCTCACCTGTGGACGTCACAACACTGGAAGTTTCGTGTACTTGTTCAAGATATTTCTGAATGAAAGAATATTTCTCTTCTCCTAGACATTGTTCCTGTTCATCGTCTCTTTCTCCGACTTCTTCATTTCTTCCTTTACAATACAAATCTGAATCCGAGTGTCTCCGACGCCCATTTTGAGGCCTCTGAAGGTCTTCATCTTCTCCAGCTGTGAATAAAAATTATATATTTATTTAGCACTAAAAATTAATCAACAGTTAGAAGGAAGATAGGTGATGATGTAGTTGACGAGGGGGAGGCATGTGGTCCCTTTGATTCTTTTACTACAATTCTGCAAGTATCTTATTTCATATTTAAGAGCACTTTCAAACCTGGTGGTTGATTTACTAGTCATTTTAACTATGTCATGTTGTGTGTTGTGGTGTAGTTTGGAGGAGAAATAGAATAACATATTTTTCCTAACGTAGGAGTCATGCACATTTGGAGGAACATTTGTCCAGGAACACTGTAAATTGTAAATTGTAAATATCTTATTATCCACTCCCATCAGGGCTTTTCAGAGATAATTTACAACACTGCATGGTTGGGGGACTTTGCCAGACTGCTTAAGGTGCAGTTTACAAGTATTGAAGGAATGAGTAATGATGCCCCCATACATGAGTGTGAAAGTGAGATAGACCACTAGCACCGGGCACTACGTGCCCTACTCTTTACGAAGAGTGTGTGGGTTCTTTAACGTCCCACAGATTTATTACATGTGCAAGGGCTTGTGAGACGGGGTCTACGCGTTATCGTCCTTATCCGAGAAGACTTTTTGTCTAACCGTTTGCAGATGTTATTACAAAGGCAGCACTTTCTCCTCAGTTATGAGTAAAGACCCTGAGTGTTGGTCCGGCCGGGATTTGAACCTACGGCCTCCCGCTCAGCAGACCGGCGCTTATCCCATTGAGCTAACCGGGCGGCGGTCGATTTGACATTAAGGTAGAAGGAGTCGATAATCCATTACTCTGTTATCTAATTTACACATGATATGGTTTTGGCAATTTCTATTATATAATTTTTCGAGATGTACTACTTGGTTTAAACTTTGATATACTGATAATGTCTAAGGCTTAAATATGTGACAAACAATAGTATACTATAGTTAAAAATTGACGAAGTTTCCCTTTTGCTGACCACTGATTAAGAGAGTTTTTTATTGCTGTTAACAGACTTGATTTGATATACACCTATTTCAATTAAGGTTGCTCCCGTAAACCATGTTTCATAGCCTGCAGTGCACTATGGTAAACCCTTTTGTAGCGGGAAGTTTAGTCTTGTTCACGTTCATTGAAATAATGCAGACCATTTGTGAAAAGGCCTTCAAGAAAGTTTTCAGGAGGGTGTGAATGGGGTTAACCGACTAGCGACAAAGGGCGAAAAATATTACTTACTACCGACAAAACGAGTAAAAAATTACCGACTACCGACAGGAAAAATATTAACCGACTACCGACGTGGGCTGACATTATCAATATTTTTTTCAGAAATAAAGAGCATTTTGCATTTTTTTTTCCAGCCGTTAGGAAGCTAGTAACCTCTTTAAATTTATGGCTCATCAGATGGTCTAACAGAAAGAACTTCCTCGTTTGTTGATACAGAAGCCACAGTCCTTAAAGATGCTACCGACTTATATATATTCTTATATATATATTTTATTGAAAAGACAAAGGTGAAAAAACTGAACATTTCTTGTGTCGGTCGGAGAAATGCTTAGATTAATCCTGAAAGAAAATTCTTTCCAGTTTAATGGAAAGCACTACATACGGCAGTTTCCTTTCCAACATTTTCATGGCCGCATATATTGAAACACAAAGTTTAAGCAAAACCGTCCTTAAACCAACTGTTTGAAAATGCTACTTAGATGATATTTTTTCTCTATGGGACATAAGTAAACCAGACATGGTAGATTTCTTCAAATTCACGGAACAAGTAAACTTACTTCACCCTACTGCTCTTCTGGCTATGAAATTTACGCCCGAAATATCTGACACTGAGACAATCTTTTTAGACCCCGTTGTATACCAAGGCTCAACATTCAACGAAAAATGAGAAAAAGCTATCATTGACGTAAAGACGAATTTAAACGGAAACCTTCCAGTATACACATTTCACCTCTTACCACCCACCGAATGTTAAAATGGATTTGACCAACAAGAAGCCTTGAGTATCCTACGAACAAACTCCTCTGAGGAAGTATTTCAGATTTCAAAAAGCGGTTGATGGACAGAGGCTGGCCACACAATTTTGAAATAAAAATTGCTATTAGAAGTAAAACTCACAGGAGAAAAGCAGAGCTCCTGAAACAAAACAACAAGGAAGAAAAAGACATATTGCTTTTCGTGACACAATACAAGCCCCTAGTGTCTATTATAAAAGAAACTTTAATGTAAAAGTGTAATCTTATACAAAACCAATCACTACCTTGCCAACTTAACCCTCAGACGTACACGCAAAATCATACCCCCCACCATGGTACAAGAGGATGGTAGATGGAACCCCTCCCCAGAGTTTTTGATATGTTGCAGTATTTCGAAGCGATTTTGCCTTCACTGAAAAGCCTTTGATCTTCTTAACAAGATGAGGTATATTTTATGAATGGTGGCACTGCTGGAGGCCTGGTACGTCACCAACAATGGTCGCCATCTTTGCCGCCATCTTGGATATTACAAAGAATTAGAAATCAGGTTAAAACAAAGAGAAATGGTAATTGCTTGACATGAATAATAACACATAAATAAGCACTTTGCATGATTTTAGCTACAAGATTTTTCTTTTATTGTTGAAAAAAGTTGAAAAAATAATATATTTTCATTCCAAATGGCTTGACAACCTGCTACTTATTACGTCATACCTCGTAACCATAGAAACTGATCATCACTGAACTTTTCTCAAAATGCGTGCGAGGGATAAACGAACATTTACTGAAAACATCAGGTGCTGATGTTTTATCCTCTTGGAAAAATCCCAGAAAACCTAAAGGGGGTGGCATCCACCCCTTGTATGTCCGAGGGTTAAAGTGTTATTTCTTTGAGGAAGGAAAATTATGGCAAAGGACATGCTTGTTAGAGCCAAAACATTAAAGGTATAGATGTGCAGCCCGTCACCCCTTGCAGTTTTTCACTAAGCTGATAATGTAAGTATCCAGAAGGCTGGAGTCCATTAATTAATTAATTAATTACTTTCTACTGTGCCGTGTAATGGACAGGGAAACCAAGTTCGCATTTACAGTAAAAGGTTTGGTGATCTTATTAGTACGCACGATATTCATTTGGCAAACAATGGTGAAATAAACGACCACAGGAGTCGATCGGCTCCTGACGATCATGTTGCATAAACAAACAAGAGTTAATGAAGTTTAAGTGCAATCAAATATAAATGATGCATTCTTACAAGTTTTACTCTTTCCCTAGGGATCAAAGTCTTGAAACTTGGTGAAATACATGAAAAATATTAATAATTAAAAAGCGTTTTTACTTATTAACTGAGATTTTCGGACAACCGACAAAAATCAAGAAGTTGAACCGACTACCGACAAAGATAGAAAATTTTAACCGACTACCGACAAAGTAACTGAATTTTAACCGACAACCGACAAATGGACCCCCCATTCAGACCCTCTTTGAGGTCAAATGGCTGCTAAAATTCTTAAGCATGAGCGAGCTGAAAAATTTCATTTTTAAAATCTCATGGTAAAAGATTATAGAAGACTCTTCTTTTAACAACATTAAAGGAACAGTATCCCGTTACTGCGCATGCACCAAACTTTGATTTTTGGACAGGATGTCCCGAAATCAAAAGATGCGAGGAGAGTAAGAGAACCTTGAAAAATCCGTTTGCATCGCGCTTGGCCGAGTTCAATACTACACTAAAACTTCTCAGGATTACTGATCAATGATATTTTGTTCCTCTTAAGTTTCGATTTGGGCCAAATCTGGATTTTTTGGCGTTACTTTTATTGCCGTTGGCCGGAGGACCAAAAGATGCGAAGCGCTTTGATGTCGATTGAAGGCTTATTTCTTTTGCCAGCTTCCATACAAGCTCAGATAATTGTGAAAGGAATACGCGGAAATGAAACAGCAACAATAAAGACTGTAAGAAAGAAACCATTGAGACATTGATGTGACTGAGGAGATCTTGTGGAGGGGAGCTTCGTGAAGCAGAATGTTCTGCAACGACGTAGCCTGCGAGCAAGCTCTCCATTTGGGGGATATCGTGAGAGCTTGCTCGCAGGCTAGCAACGACGCGTTAGTAAACTTTTAAATGAATCTCCCTACGGCCGACAAAATCAAACAAACAGGCGTACATGTTTAGAAAAACTAGTTCCATGAAATCATAATATAATTTTTTACTAACCTTTGCGATGATTCATAGCTTTGAGATTGCATTTTTATTTCTGTCTTTCCAACGTTTGAGGCTAGAACGCGAGCAAATTAGGCAGATATTACTGGACTTGGAACAATTGACCTCTGACACAAGTTTCACATTAGAAAAGCTGGTTTTAAAGCGAGCGGAAAGAGATTTTCGGGTCGCGAGGCGGCCCTGCTAGCGATAAAATCGCGATGAGTTTTCTTGCAACGAGCCAAATTTTAAATAAGACGAAAGATTTCTTCGAAAGTCTAAAATATTGCCTGAGAATATAGACAACAAATCTCCGTCGGCGGTGCGGTCCGGAAGGAAATCTTGTCGAGTAAATATGACAGTTCTATTGTCTTTTGAAGAAAAACAGATGACGCTCGCGCGTGCGCATTATCGGGATACTGTCCCTTTAAATGAATAAGGTTTTACCGCCTGATTAAGCTGCGTTTTTGCATGGGCCAGAATGCTGGTTATTTCAATAAAGCAAATCAACGCTATTGTTTTTTCTTATTCAGCGTTGAAAACATTGCCTCATAACAGATAAACACGTACTGTTAAGTTATTTATTGTTGTTCAACAATGCCTTGAATCTGATTTTTTTAAAACTCAATCCAAAATTCCCAAGTGCACGAGCCAAGCAAATTCGTTGAAAACTTGCAGCATTTGCATATTACCACAGACAAAAACCTAACCTCAAATCACTGTCTTAGGATTCAGTGTTTTGAAATAAATTGTCTTAACGTTCTGCTGACATAGCAACCTCGTCCCCAGGGCTTTTCCCTTAAAAAATGGGTGGGGCGGGAAAAGGCCCTGGCATCGGCTGGTCACGTGTCCCCTCGTACACCCTAAAATCCTGGGTGTAATAAATTAGCGTTATGTGAAAAGCTAAAATTATGCGTAACCTCACAGCGCGCGATCTTGGGCGGCCTTTTACATCTCTTGACGATTAACGAAAAGTCTTACAAGGTTTCCTTTTTGTTACAGATACTGGCTATGGTAATTTTTTGCTTTCCTCCGATTTCTATGAAGGGGACTGCGAGCGGTAACATTTGTAAAACTTCCTTTATAGAGCGATATAAATGACAAACAAGCTATCGTACATGCATAAAGTTTGTACTGGAAAAGTTCGCTTTCGCGACTCTTTTGATATTTTATTTTATTTCTTGCGAAGTGGACCGCCGTACACAACCTAGTTCCATTCACCTTAACTCTCAGCCATATCATCATAGCGATACGCGTTGGTTTAGACTTATCTTGTATGACCTGTATTTTTAAAAAATTCATTGACCTCTGCGACACTTAACCGAAACCGGAAACCGCGCATGAAAAGTCTCTGGCAACCAGGGTATCAAACGACTGGTAACAAAGAAAGACTTGGGTCCATTTAAAATTGACATAGATGTAGTTGATCCCAATCGAATATAAGAAAAATCCTTTATACTTATCCTCGGAAGAGAAAAGATATAAGAGATCTTCAAATGTTTCAGATCGGCGACCTGTCATCGTTCCTGGCTGGAGGGCTGACTTGCATCCGGCGCGGAGATTTGTTTGTTTCATGGTCGGGTTGTAGAGAAGACCAGATTCCATAAAGCATTTTGATGAACAATTCTATTTCAATTAAGTTCAATTTGTTTAAATTCACTGCAGATCCTAGAGGCAAAGGCCCGCATTTTTGTTTGACATTGGACAAAATCACTTTCCGCTTGATGATCGTACAGTAATTCCACAGTCACGATGAATTTCAGTCGAAGTACTACTCGATAACAGCTTGTCTCAACTCTGAAGCATTTGACATATTTTGTACGTGTCAACGTAGAGCCGGTACGCCCTTTCATAAACTTGTAGCCTTTGAATAATACGCAATTAAATGGATCTTAAGCTTTTGAATCGCACAGACGCGAAAATATTGACATACAGTTCGCGATATTATTATTTTCCATTGTTGCGTCGTTCGACTTTTGCCAGCGCAAAACCAGCGGGTTGCATATAAATTAGCTTTTCAGGAATATTTAGGCTGTGCACGTGACCAGCCGATGCCAGGGCCTTTTCCCGCCCCACCCATTTTTTAAGGGAAAAGCCCTGGGGACGAGGTTGCTGACATAGCATAGAAACATTAGCAGCGTTTACTTCCTAGGTTTCTAGGCTCGTTGCGGGCACACAATTTATTAGACTTACTACAATAATGCAACGCGGGATATGAAACATGGATCATGATCATTCTTCTCAGAAGCAGCCTTAGCTGAAATAGGTGTATACACCATTGACGAAGCTTAACAGGAAACAGTACTAAGGCTAGGGAGTTGCACAGAAATTTATACTATGGAGGTATGCCTGCTGCAGTTATATGCCTCTTCATGTACGTACATAGGTTTCATCGTAGCCTCAAAAATGTAGCACGTTTTTATCAATGTAATAGTCATGTACCCAGCTATACGGACAATGTTACAAGAAATTTGTCATCACTTAGTGAGTAACGGATAGCGCAGTGGTGAGAGCACTCGCCTCCCATCAATGTGGCCCGGGTTCAAATCCCGGCGTCGGCGCCATATGTGAGTTGAGTTTGTTGTTGGTTCTCTCCTTTCCTACGAGAGGTTTTTCTCCGGGTAATCCGGTTTTCCCCTCTCCTGAAACAACAACATTTCCAAATTCCACTTCGACCAGGAATCAGGTAGACGAAGAACTACTTTGTGGGTGTGCACAACCACAACCACACCCCGAACACTTCGTTAGAGAGAGGGGTTGCTGAACGTGAGGGAATCCGTTTTACCTATGTCATTAGTTCTCAAGTCCGCTGACACTTGTTTATACTCTTACCATCTTCTCCACATATCGCGAGCTCCCTTTTTAGTTTGTCAATCTCAATTTCAAGAATTTGCATCTTGAAATTCCATTTATTTTCTGCCTGGTTCAGTAGCATCAAAGTAATTTCATCCTCCTTTGGGCTGAGAGAAAGAAATGAATCTGAATTCCTTCGACGTCTGCCACCTTCCTGGCTTATGTTATCAGCAGCTGTCGAAAAGGATAAGAAAGAACAAAACCGATCAGATACCTGACATGAAATATTTGACTGCAGAAAATGTTTTGCTTGAACTTAGGCTATCCTTTTGTCCTCAAAGACTTTTCCTTCTAATAATCAGCAGCTATTATATTTTGGGCATGAGCTATTTGTGACGACCGAAGATAATGGTTGTATAGCAGACTGCCACTTAGGGTTCTTTTAAGAGATGCAACATCCTCAACAAATTTATACTAAAAGCAGCTAAAAATATTTCCATTTCTGATCAATGGATCGATAAAAAAATGACTACTGCCTTATATTGTTATAGTCTCTGTAACTTCTATTATTCACCATTTGCATATTAATTCTAAAACTAAAAAAAAAACAGACAAATAAAACCACATATCTAATTAATTCATATCGAATGAAAAAACTGATATTACAAACAACTGAACAGCAACATTTTCTTCTGACGCACTAAAATATTTGCTTGACTGGAAACATAAGTCCCTGCGCAAGATGGCATGAACAACCCTTTGGTATATTTACAGTGTAGGTTGCCTGTGAGATCAAATGATGCCGTACCTGGATTCATACTAGACTGGTTTAAGCAACAGCCAGATTTAAAACTATTATATCCTAAATAAACAATAAATAAAGAGGCCCGAAACTCCAGCCCCAGTCCCCCAGTGCGTTCATTGGTGAAGATACAAGAAAAGTTATTCTGACTTACCTTGATTTTTTTGGAACATGAGATCAAGATAAGCTTCTCTATACTCCTTTTCATCGATATAAACTGTCACCTCCATTTCTTCTCCACTTGCCAGTTGTTTGATATCTTCGGTTACCAGGAAATTTTGAAGACGATTCTTCAATGTCTTGTTGTTGTAAATGTTCCATAACTCTTTTAAAGCTGACGGTGTTTTTGCTAGCACTGTAAAGCAGAGAGAGCTTTCACTCGGTTCAACAAGCTTGGTAAAGGCAGGCAAAACAACCTCGTTGAAGGCATCACTGTATTCTTCAAAACTGGAGCAACTTCGCAGAGCCAGGCCACTGCCAACCAATATCATACCACCAGCAAGCGTGCGGAAATTACATACCATCCTAACCGCTGTAAAAACAACAGCCAAAAAACAATTGAATTGAGTTTCAATTGAATTCCAAAAATACTGGTCCTGTTTTTTAGATTATATTTGGGCATTGAAACTGTTCACCTGTCGTCCTGTTGCCACGGATAGCAAGGATGGACATGGATTGAAAAGTTGGGCCAATCTTTTCAATTAAGTGAAAATGCTACACGTGCGGAAATCACCAAAAAAAAATTATGGTTAGTGTTCCCTGATAAAATTTGATTGATAACTTCTTGAGAACTCTACAGGATTATTTTGTGTATGGGTACAGGCACAATGAAATGACTTCCGCACAGAATTGACCTAAAACAGCATTATCCTCGTGACATAGCTCCTTTAAGAACGACAACAACAACTCTTTATTCTTTGTAAAGTGGAACCCCGTTAATACGGTCACTAATGGGCCAAAAAAAAATTGGCTGGAATTACCGGGGCAGGCTCAAATCTTCTTCGTGACTTAAGGGCCGTAATAACAAATACACCGTACATTGCATTCACCGCACTGTTCTCATTAATAAACAACCGGAATGTAGTTACAGTCGAACCTCTCGGTACGGACACCTCTCTATTTCGGACAGTTTCCAATGTCCCGATGAAAATTCGCATATATTTTCTTAAAAAACCCTCTATAATACGGACTCTCTCTAATACGCCCTCTCTCTCTCATACGGACAACGGACACTAAAACTCGGCCCCAGAGAGTAAATTCATATTAACTTAACCTCTTTATCACGGACACTGCGGTTATCAGGTGAATCCCAAATCCCGATCAGGTGAATTACAGGGTGAATCCTGTCTAGTCTGGTTGATGAGCTATATGTAAGGTGATATAAGGGGCCGACCATTTAACCCTTGAGGGGGGGAGTGGGTGATTTCTGGCCATCAAGAATTTCTTTTTCTAGCAGTCTGGTGGGCAGGATATTTTTTTCCCTTTTTTTCCCATTAGCTTTCTATTACATTTGTGCTACATGCATTTTTTTTCTTCCGACAAGCGCTTGCAGGAAATTTTTTTTCAAAATCACCCCCCCCCCCCCCCC